AGAATAAAATATATTTTTATTAATATAATGTTAATTTTATTCTACTTTTAATTACACAATATTTTAATACAAAAATTTCTTTCGTATCTTATGAGTTAGATTATTAGATTCATGAAATATATTCCTGTATATAAAAAAATATAAATGTATTTCTCTAAGGAAATAAATTGTATGTTTTTACGTGCGATTCACAGAGTGTGCGCACATATAATACGTATCTGTGACAATTCGATGTTTCCCGCTAAACATTTTTTAAATTTAATGTTAAACACCATGAAGGTTTATACTGCTGTTTTACTACTGTATTTTATATAGTCGTAATTATAAAAGAGGCTTCATTAAAAAATAATGCTCCATTATATTCAACAACTACGAAGTAGTATTCTCTTATAAAATGATGATCTCTTGAACATTTTTTTAACAGAATTCTTTCCATTATTTTTAGAAATTCATTGTTTGTGTCAGAATAGTATAGAAGTCGTATTTTTAAATTATTTATATACCGATTTAGCAAATAATATCTGTTCCTCTTTTACGTTCCTTTTATTAACGTGTTTTCACGTAACTATATAGTTTTTACCTTGCTAAATGTAATATCTAAAAATGATTCCAAATGAAACGTTTGAAAGAAATCGGGACATAAGGCAACTCGAAGATGTCATACAAAGATGTCTTTCGAATAGTTTTATAAAATGTCTTTGAGAGTTTATAAGGTTTTTCAGTTCAAAACATTATAATGTTCTCTGAGTTTGTATTTCCAATGTTTCAAATACTCTTTACGACATATAAAATTACAAATAAAAATTCAACTTGAATTTCAATACAAATTCTAATTTTAAAGTAAGCTGAAGGATATATTTCACGTATTATATTTTTTAAGAAAAATGAGAAATGATTTTCCTATATTATATTTAATAGTAATTACAAATACAAAAAGTTTGACGATGATGAAAACTTGGATAAAAAATGATTTCAATAAGATTTCAAATAGACATATTAAAAACAAAATTAAGATAAAATAAAAAAATTGTTGTTTAAACTATAAAGTTATACTATTAAATACAAACATTGATCTTATTGTTTTATTTGTATATAACATTCACTTTTATATAAAAAGTATCAATCATTTTTTTGCAGAGATTCATTCTCAATACAATTTTTCATTATCATTAACATTCAGCAAGAAGTAAATGTAAATATAAATTTTTTATTCCGCTTTCTCCCTATAAACGTTAAATTAAAAATGATTTATCTCAATCAATTAATTCCTCAAATTCTCCACTCCGTTTTCATTTTACAAATTAGCACTGGTCGTCTATGAATAACTCTATTTATAACTCGTTACCCATCTATCACAGATTCAATCGTCTATTTCCATTCTTATCGATCCTATCAAATTTTCTACAAGACGCACCGGGAAGCCCCCGTGCAATCTCTCCCTTTCCCGCCATCCGATTTAGGCACAGCCTAATTGCATCTGTAACAACTATAATTACAGACGTCAGGCGTGCCGAGGGCGTGGGCGACGCACGGTGGTGAGGACGTGCCGGTGTTCGCCGTCGGGCCTCTCGCGAACGCCCTGTTCTCCGGTAGCGTCGACCAGAGTTACATCCCGCACGCGATCGCCTACGCTGCCTGCCTGGCCCATCATGCCAGCCGCTGCTCCCGGGATTCTACGAACAACGCGAATGCCAGCGACACAATGAACGCCGCACCGATAAGCTGTCCCTCGGCAGAGCCGAATAGCGCGGCGATATCCAGCGACGTAATGAATGACCGCATGCGAAATCCACCCACGAAATCCGCCGGTGGTCCCTGCCGTTCATTGGTTGGCAGCTCTTCGCTGCTGCTGATGCTGTTGCTGCTGTTGCTGCTGATGCTAGCGCCATTGACGCCTCTGATACCCGTCGTTCTGCTGATTCCCCGGTGTCCCTTCGAAAGGACGAGTTAATGCGTCCCTTTCTTCCGTGTCCGAGGAAGAGAGCGGTCTCCTGTGTGACGTCAGGTACATGACAGCGCGGAGAAGCCACTGAAACACCGACGTGGAGTAACGGTCGATGGAGCGACCGCAGTGTAAATTTGACAGGACGCGGGTCTTCGAGATTGGCTTACTCCGAACGAGTAGTGATCGCATCTCTCAGTGAACCGTTAAATGGATGGTTTGCTCAACATCCATACGCTGCGAGGGTCATTGAGTGTTGATGCAGCACAGTGTAACGTCACGGTACAGCGCGGAGAGTCCTTGGAAAGGCTTTCCGGGAGTGACTTAATAGGAAGGATCCGTCACGAGGGTTTGTCCAAAGAAAAGTGTATTTGCATCTTTTCACGTAAGAATCGGCTGACAAATCGACCAATTTATGTACGATACACCCGCGTAACATCGGTGAGATAAACGACGCGCGTGGCGTATCGTTTCTTAAAGTTCTTAGTCCTCTCATGTATTTTTAATCTCATATCTCTGAACACTGCAGTCGAGTACTTTTACTTTATGTATAATAGTTTAATTGATACAAGTTTTTGTTTGAGGGATTACCTAAAGTTCTATAAACTTCTACATTAATGACTAAAGCCCTTTCAATAAAGAGCATCAATGATTGGGGGTCTTTAGGAGAAGAGTTTCTTGTTATTTCAAGAACTTTTAGAAACTAATATATCATAACGTTTTTTAATATATTTCTTTATTATTCCTTGTTATTATCTCATCACATACTTTCCTATTGCTTAAAGTAAAAAATAATTGTGTTCTCTTTTTTGTAATTGTGTTCTCAGGTGTTTTTCTTTCTAGTTGAAGAAAGTAAATTCTTGCATGAGAAGATTAATTGCATTGGTCGATTTTCCGAAATGTTTCGAAACTGTTGCTACTTTCTGCAGCTATATTTCTTTCCCTCAATTAATTTAGAAGGAAATATATATTTTAACAAAGATATATATGTTATATATAAGATTTTGTTAAAATATATAGAATTAAATGGATTTTTTAAAGCAATTACATCTTGAAATCTATAAATATTGTTCAAACAAAATTTTGTTAAAGTAATAGTTTCTCGCTAACAAAAAAGAGAGGAGAAAATTAGCTTTGATTTATAATTAATCAAAGAATCTGCAAAAAGAATAGCAATATTTCCGACACATTTCGTATATCTCGAAGATCCGTTTGCCTATCGTTCAAATGGCGACTTACCGTAATCCCCGTAAGCATGTTTCGGCTTTTTGCCGTACGGTAAAGCATATTACAACGAATCGATAACGGCCGACCTCGCCGATCTAATATAGACTGTCCAATAAACAGGCCATAAAGCAGCTCTCGAATTGTGAGACTTCCGAAGTAGAATAAAATGTAAATATATATTAAGAATGAAGCAGACAATGTATAAATATGAAACACGCGTTCACACATCGAATGTAAACTACAGGTAGAATTTAATCGAGACGGACTTCTCATCAACGCACGCTGACACGCTATTCTTATCAACGTTATTTAATTTTTATCCTCTCTCTTTGGGTAGGATTATTTTAACTTAAAGAAATATTTACATATAATACGCGGATTAAACGATTTGTCAAGAAATTTATTTGGAAAAGATGAAATTTTCAAACTTTACGTATGCCACGCTGCTTTGCCTATATCACTTTTACATATTTCGAGCTTCTCGCAACGTAAAGTAGCTTTTAAAAGCGACTTTGTCACAGCGGGAATTAGTCGTGCACTTTTGTCTTGACAGTTTCGTCGCTCTGTTTCCCAGATTCATCAGCTTCGATTATTATTGAATAATCCGCCAGCACCGTCTTTTCGAGTTCATTCGTAATGTATCGCGATATCGCGCTGAATGAGAAGCGAAGATTTACTGGCGATGCGTTCATGTATTTGTGACTAGTTCTGAGGGAATTGCAGCTGCGCAAGCTGAGAGTCCCTTCGCCATTCAATTCTGCAGAATCCATTCTCACGAGAAGCGTTTCCGTTTCCATTGCAGTTTTGATGGAGCCGTGCAAATTTTATACAGCGTTTCGGCCGTATTTGCGAGCGGTTCTAAAAGATGATTTGCCTTTTACGTGCTGAATTGTGGCTTTGATTTATAACCCCTCGGCTAAATTGACGAATTAATTGCGTCAATAAACCGCTGTCTTAGCTGTTTCAAGCTGGCAAGAAACTGGCTAATAAAGTTAAAACTATATATGTGGAAAAATAAAAATGCCTATTGTTTATCTCGAGCATGAAAAGCTAAAGCATGAAAAGCTATCTTGCAAACAAATGCATAAAATAATATATTTGAATTTTATTCTAAATTATTGATGTGTTTTTCATGGGATACAAAGTATTTGAAATGTTTGCTTTTAATAATTTGCGTTTAATAATTCGCCTTTTATCCGGTCTTTTCTAGATAGCGAATATATTGACTAAGTAATTGTGTAACAGATTGCTATTGCGAATTTCTCTGATATAATGTTCGCTGAGTTTAAATCCTTCTTTCAGGTTTATACCGATGGAATTTAGTAATTTTATGCAGGAAGAGAAGAATGTTGTTAAAGAATTGTTCCTTCTCAAGAATAATACGTACGTTGAATACGAGAAGTGGGAAATACCTTTGTAAACGTGCGCACATTCGTCAAGTAATATTATCTTGTTTTCAATTTTACCATATCGCGTGTATTCTTGAACAGTTATGATTTTTCTACTCGTGGAAGATGTCTTGGGGCTACAGTTCTTTTCATGACGCTCGCAGTCGGCAAAGACATTGGCAAGATAGTTGCAACGAATCGCTATTTTTGTTTCTCCATCAGACGTGCTGACTTAAAATTTTACAGCGAGGATAAAGGTCAATATCTTTCACTAAGAATAGCTTATTTCTATGGTACTCATTTTATGCAGGATATGAAAACCGCATGATATATCTCGCAAGCGCGCATATGTCTTTATTTCGCTTCCGACTTTTACATGCTTCCTGAAACGTTCAGGTCAGTCTCGAATTTGTAGAAAAATGAAAGCATAACGCGCGTAAGGTAGTACAACGCATGCATGTATATACATAGCACATATATATTATGTATGTATATGTATAGCAGCCTGGAGATGGCTGGAGTTAAATGACGATGGAGACTTTAACAAAATAAATTCATCCTCAGGACGACATCATCTTTACGATCACGCGATGCAAAAAGCTGTGCGATGTTCTATGGGCAACGTAAATTCTGCGCGCATCTCTTGGTTAGATAGACGCTGTAAAATAGTTATAAGGACAACGAATGGGACTGAGCGTATCTCTCTTCTGCGTGTTGGGGTCAGAATGAACAAATATCCGCTAGTTATTATCTCGCTGCGAATTATCGACATATTCGCTCGATGAATACGGTTTTCATGGGCTAGAACGAATTTTATAATTATAAACGAAATGAACATCTCGACGAAATAGAAGATGGATTGCAGGAAATTGAAAACTGAGAATTATATCCGCCGTATCGTTGTTTAGATGAGATCGGGAACATAAATGTTGCATTGTTGATATACGTTGCAACATTTCTTGTCAAAAAATAAGCTAATTTATCCCATGAAGCATAAACAGTTTTCAAGCTTTGATCTGATAAGAACAAGTCGATTTTGATAAGCGACCGATAGTTGTAATATCGATATCGGTCTCTTCGGAAAAAATATTCTTTTATTTTTTGTGTAAATTAAACATTTCTAATTAATTACTTCTGTTTACTATGACAATTACTATTTACTATGTCAGTTTTGGGGCTCATTTTGTTATATACATTTATTTTTACTTGTCTTATAAAAAAAGTTAATTATTGCAAAATTCCAAAAAATATTATAAAAACTGCTATATCATTTGATAGAAGATACTTTTTAGTTTGTATTTATCCAAAGTTTTATTTTTAGTTTGTGTTTAAGAAATGTAATCCAAAAAATAAAGTATAACGGTGACTTTTCTCTACAACATGAAAATCTTAATTTATATCATAGTCACCTACGTGTTTTCTAAAATTTAGATGAGCAAAATATTATATATTATATATATAATATAACGTCTATATTTTGGCAAAGTAGAAATTGCAACTTTTTATGGAAGGTATTCTTTCATTCATATTGTATATGTTCCTATTATTAAAAAACACTAGAACTTCCATAAAGTAATAAAAATGACCGATTTTTAATGCAATTTATTAAATTTATAACATGTTTTTTTTAAGATTTTTCGTGATTTTTGTGTTGCAATATGTGAATAATTAAATTTATTTATTTATTTCTTCTCCTCACATCTTTCTTTTTTCAAAAATATGTTACGTCCAAACTCCGGAAAAGTGGGTTTTTTTTGGAGAGAGAGAGAGAAGGGAGTAGAAAAGGATG